TTATTATTATTATTATTATTATTATTATTATTATTATTATTATTATTTTGCTTTCTATCTGTAAAGCAATTTGTGTTCCTGGTATATTTGGAGATTCATGTATATATTTTTTTTCTATTCTTTTTTATTGTTGGTTTTTGGAAGGGGTCAAGGGAAACCAAAGGAGAAGAAAGGGTAGAAAATCAAGGAAGAGAAAAACTGGAGAAATTACTCTAGGAATACTAAAATACAAATACGAACATTGTTTTTTTTTTTTCTGTTGTTCTTTAAACATGGTATTTGCGGTAGTTAGCTACTGGCGTCGTCGTGTGGGAGAAGTTTGTCGCCGTTCCTCTTTTCCATTTCGCCTAACGCATTCGCCGTCTCTCACTTCTGAGTGTGGTGTTATTGGTAGCAGTAGTGGTTGTAGTAGTAGTATTATTGTTGGTAGCAGCAGCAGCAGCAGAAGTAGTAGTATAGGCAGCAACAGTTATGTCTGTTCCAGACGCTTTTTCTGGAATCCATTTGCTCGTCGTGATGGTAATGGAAAAGGAACTGGTAAAGATTCTGCAGTGGATCAGTATCAGCGTATCATGGAGAAAGCGCAGCGGGATGCGACACTTCATAATGAACGGCTTTTAGATGCTTGTTTAGATCTGTTATCTGTATGTGGAACTGGAAGAGTGGTGAACACATTGGAGAAGAAGGAAGAAGGTCAAGACTCCAATTCCGATGCCGCTATGGATATTATTGCAGCTGTGGTGGAAACAACCCTGCATGATTTTCGTAAAACCCCCTCTGAACAGTTTGATCTTGTTTATTCCGCTTTATGTCTACCGTTTGTACGGGGAGATCGTCATGTGCAGCGGTGTTTAATGGTGGTGTTGGAGGCAATTCTACCGGAGGCACTTTTCCGTGTGTTTGAAAGCACAGACTTAATTGTCATGGACCCGCAGGACACTCTTCGGCGAGAGGCACTACTGCGACTCGTCCATGCCCTTCTCGGTGCGGAGACGGAAGATACGGAAACTGTTAAGAAAGATAATAATAATAATAATAATAATAATAATAATAATAATAATAATAATAATAATAGTGATAGTGAGACTTTACAGAAGAAGGAGAAGGAACCTGCGGAGGTGCGACTGGTGGTGTATGTGGCTGCCGTACGCGCTGCCTTTCCCGCACTGCAGAGTAGTCCTGCGTTTGCGGCTCTGGAGGCGGATGCGATTGGCATTGCGATGCGGGCCCGTTTGTATCTTCTCGTTGGGCAGTTGTGTGCCTTGTTGGATGTGGACGGGACGGGGACGGTGGCGCTGGCGGACCTGCGCGAGACGGCGGAGCGGGTGTTGGGGGAAAATGGGGCCCGGGCGTTGCTGCAGGGGGCGCGGCCAGACGAGAAGGGAAGAATACGGTACAGGCAACTCATGGCTCTCATCACCCGCCCACCGCCGACAAGAGCGGAGTAGAAAGAAATATATAAAGAGAGAAAGAGAAAGAAAGTGTGTATTGTTGTTATTGTTGGGGAAGGGGAGATGTAGGGGTGGGGGTGGGTGTCCGCATTTTGATTTCTCTGTTCGTGAATGTGGTTTGCATATCCTTTTTTTTTTTTCTTCTTTTTTTTTTTTTGTACGATGGGTCTTAAAACTAAAAAGAAAAAGAGAAAGAGAAAAAAAAAAAGGGGGGGGGGAAATGTAGTATTGTGAATGTGCACATTGTGGAGGAAAGAATACTTCAGGCGTCATTTTTTTTTTTCTTTCATTTTCATTTGTTTCTTTCTCTTTCTCTCTCTCTCTCTCTGTGATTTTGTTTTCTTTTTCTTTTTTTTTTATTATTTCTACACACTAATAAAAACGAAAAGAAATAGTGTGAGAGAAAGATAAGGAGGTGGGGGAGTTCTATCTAGTCTCTTGCTCTTGTGTATATTAATAAAAACAAAGCAAAAAAAAAGAAGAAAAAAAAAAGATTACTGAAACTCCTCATTGTTTACAGTAATATATACTACAATAAGAGGTGAGGTCAGTAAACAGTCAAGTGAGTATAGAGGTAAATATTATCTTTTTTGTTTTTCTTACTTACCACAATTATTTATTTATTTATATATTTATATATTCCTTTTACTACGCGATAGTAGTAGTGGTTTTATTTTTAATGATAGACGGTCTCTACAAATTTTATGCAAGATCCTCATCATCTGGTCATGCTCTTGTACCTTATAACTATGCAGATCCTCCACTACTCATTGTTGTGACCTTTGCGGATATCACAATTACTTCACCTCTCATCCCACCACAATTACCACCACACGATCAATTACATTCTATTATGAATGCATTAATGAAGACATTTCCATCTTCTTATTTCGTATTGGTGGCTCCTGGAGATGAATCCACATCCACATCTACTTTTCTGGCGATACCACAAGAACTTCCTCCTAAATTTTGTTGTATAAAGTTATTTCGATTTCGACGTCATAAAGTATTTTGTTCATCCGATTGTATATTAGATCCTTTATGGATTCATGAATTTCAAGAGATGTCACAGAATTTACACAGTTCCCAACATGTTGTTTCTCACATATTATTTCACATGGGATTTACTCTTAAATTAGATACACTTTGTCGTCTTATCTCTGAGAGTCATTGGATTGGGGATGAACATCTTGTGGCGGATTTACTACAGTGTCTCTCTTCACATAGAGAGAATCTTTATACTTCCTCGAATGCAGCCCTCTTTGAGCCATCGAGTAAACTTCAAGTAGAGAGTAGGGTGCATATAGAAAAGAATAGAGAAATGTCATCCAATTCTAGTCTTCTTGAAGTTGGACTTCGTGTAAGAAGTATTACTTTACATAATGATGATAATAATAATAACAATACTACGCATGAGAATAGTAGTATAAACAATCTATTATTATCATCATGTGGAAATTCTAATGAACTTGAGTCCCCATTATGGGTTATTATCCTTCACGCTTGTGGTAGTGGTGATGGATCTCAATCTATGGAAGAGTTACGATGGTTATTAGATCATCTCTCTTTAAATGATTATGTATTTGCCTCTCTTGCGGGTGAAATTGTAGTTCCTCCCTGTCAGGCTAATGAAGCCTTAAAGTGGTGGAAACAAACCAACCACGCTGTTAAGATGCGAGGACGTCGACGTTTACGTGGACTTCAACAAGCCATACAAGAGATGTGGGAACAGGCCGCAATGGTGATTGGATATTGGAGACATGAGGAATTACGTCATTATATACAAGGAAATTATAAAGGTAAAGAAGGTCGTCCTATTGTATTATTCTTTCCTCCTTTAGATTTATGTAGTGTGGAGGATTTATCTATTAATTCTATTCAACATCAATTGGCGTTTTTTCGAGTTCCTGTGTTTTCTTTGGTAACATCTGAATTTACCAAAACTACACATGTATTGATGGATTTATGTAAACTTACACAAGGTAAAATATTTTATGCTATTTGTGATAAACCTAAAAATGGTCGACATGTCCCTTCACGCGTATCTTTTGATCGATTGATACAAAATACACTTCAAACGATTCGCCGTACTTCACATATGAATACTGCTTTATTTGTGATGACCAATCACAATAATAGTAATAATAATAATAATAATAATAATAATAATAAACATAGTGATAATGATGAGGATGAGGATAATGATGAGGATGATGATCCTATACAGCAAATGACGACATCAGAACCGTTTGGAAAGCCATTTACAGTATTATTGTATAAATGTAATTCAACAAGAGGGACATCTGGTATGTATTTAGAATTGGGTCCACTTTCAGTAAACACAGAAACACCTGTTTATATAGCTACTCCACTCTCTGAAGATAAGAGAAGAGATATAGAAGAAGAAGAAGAAGAAGAAGAAGGAGAAAATGTGATGAATGAGAAAACTATTGGTATGCAAATGTTAATCTTTACTTATGCGATTGAAAAGCGTCAATATGAAATTATACCTATTCGATCATTTAAACTATTTAAAAAACATCCATTACCGGAACGTATATGGTGGGAAAGTCTCCAAGTAGTTGCGAATACGATACTCCATCCGGAACATCGAATGATATCTATTAGTCATTATGGAGAAAATAATTTACGTATGAAAAATAAATATTCATGGTTGAAGAATGATTATGATTATAATAATAATAATTATAATAATGAAAGGAGGGGAAGTAATATGAAATTATTGCGTAAACTACGAGAAGCACCTCAACGTGAATTATTACTTTCTATTTGCGTAGTTGCTCATTATGGGGAATTGGAAATTGGTAGTTTAGATGTTCCCAATAGATTCCCTAATTCCTTATTATTATTAGAAGAAGAAGAAGTAGAAGCATCCTATCCATTGAATTTTTTCCTTCATAAGAAAGAAGCCGCATGGTGGGATCAATGGGAGCGATCACGTCCTAATAGTTATTTTATTAATTCTACTGTAGATTTACGATGGACAAACTTTCTTATTCATACTGCACCTGTTTCAAGTTTAGCATCTCTGTTAACATCTACACTTCCTATCTCTATGCGTTTTGATAGACCCATCTCAACAACCATCGCTATTACGAGAGTTGAGTATAGTAGAGCGGAGATCTCTCTTCCTTCTATACATCATATTCATATTCTTAAAGAGGTAAAGAGTCGTTATTTGGTACTTTTTATAGTTAATGCCTTTACGAAAGAGATGCATATACAACGGATTTTATCTATTCCAATAGTAGAGGAATCTCTCTTTTTTACTTATTTACATTTATTTAGATATTTACAATCTGAAACTACATATTGTGTGGTTCATCTTGCCTTGGGTCTTTCTTCTAGTGTAAAGTGGATCTCTGCAAAGGATCTTTTGATATGTGATGGGGTAACCTTTACAACTCCTCGTTCTCCTGTAGATACGATTCGTATTACTTCCATTACTCATACAAGTGTTAAAGTTGAATGGAATGGTTTATTAGAAGATATACGATTAATGTGGTATCCATTATCTTGGGTTAATAATAATAATAATAAAGAAGAAGAAAAAGAAGACTCTTCTAAACAATTACTTTCAGAGAAGGAAAATACAATGATGATAGATCATTCCTTAACTAGTTGTATGATAAATGATTTAAACCCCTGTACGGTGTATTGCTTAGAGATTGGAACCTTCAATCAACGTCATCGTCATAAAATGATAAGTGAAGATAGTGAGAAGAATTCTTTTACTGTAATGGAATTATATTTTGTTACTTGTATCTCACCAGAAGATAATTCATTACATGTGGATGCGGTGATTCCATCTATAAATGATTTGGATATCGTATTATCTTATCCAATATTCACAGGTATTGTCGAGACTCGATATTTAAACTTTATACAAGTACTCATTATTCCTATTATCTCTATTAATACTCCAATGTGTACTCTGGGGAAAGGGTATGAACGAGTGGATGAACAGACGGGAATAAAATCTATAGTAACACACGTGAGTGCGGATGGTTCTGCAGAAATTCCTGTAAATATTTCATTTGAAATGATAATAAAACCATTAAAAACAGGAATAACTATAATGGATAACACCTCATGGTTGATGATATCCTCTTTAGATGCTATCTATACAAGGAAGATTGGTCCATTTGAAGTTATTACCCGCATGCATTGTACCTCTGTGAAACCTACAAGTGCTAAACTTACATGGGAAGGGAAATCATTTTCTTTTACGGTGTTTCTATATATACACAACTATAGAAGTAATCATACTAACAATGGAGAAAATGATAATGATGAATCTTCTCAAGTTGTGTGTATTCGAAAAGTAATCTTGTCTGGTAATAATAATAATAATAATAATAATAATAATGGTTCACTGGAATTGGAATTGAATCATTTAATTCCCTGTTCAAACTATACGGCTACGGTACGAACTGAAAATGGATTGGATGAATTAAGTATAAACTTCTATACACCTCCTCCTCCGCCTTTACCAGATGCCGTTATTCTCTATTCAAACATGATGTCACTTCTCTTAAGTGTGGAACTTCCGGAAAACACAAGAGAAACTCAATTTCTCTCTATTGCAATATCTTCTTTACATGTAGAGATGAATAATTACCATAGTGGAGCTGTCAAGAGGAAAATTATACCTAGTTATGCTGAAGTGCAGGAAGGCCATCCTATCATTGTAAGTTTATATCAACATTGTTTGATCTCTCCTACACAGTGGGTGTGTAGTGCCGCGACTATACTTTATGCAATAACAGATCTTCGTTGTTGTTTACATAAAGATATGGATAATACTCAACAACAACAAGAAGAAGAAAAGAGTATTTTATTACTGTGGACCTGTGCAGCTGTACGGGATGGGGCTTTCTTGGAAGTTATTGTGAATGGAGTTTCACACCTACCAGAGTTGGTGGATATAAAGTCAAATGGAGAGAAGAGTAGTCAAAATACACTTTCTATGAGAATAGATTCAAATAGACTAACACGTGTGGAGTTTTGTGGTCCTTTTATTATTCGTGAAATATCACCCATATTTATATTGCCAGCCCCACCACCGCTTACGGTGTTAGATTGTAAAGTGCAGGCTCTGGTAACTCGCACTGGGGATGATGTGAAGATTCATATTATGGAATCTTTTGTTAATGCGCTTCGATTACTTTACATGGATGTGAAGGAAGTTGTGATATTCCTACTATGTATTAGTAATGATGATATTAGTGATAATAATAATAATAATAATAATAATAATAATAATAATAATAATAATAGTGATTGTAGTCATAAGAGGAGTAATAGTAGTAGTAGTAGTAGTAATAATAGTGGTACTGCTGTTGTTAAGAAGATGTATGAGATTGAAATCCCATTATATACAGAAGAAAAGGATCTGATAGTTTCACTGCAGACTGGAGTAGATACTGTGATGCCAAGAGTGAAAACTATACAAAATGGTAATAATGGTGAAGAGGAAGAAGAAGAGGAAGTTATGATGATGACATTGTATATCAAAGTACAAGAGAAAGATTATGGTGATATTACTATTAATGATGATAATAATATTAATATTAATAGTAATACTCTGGTTCCTCATGGAATGGATGAAGAGATATTTCAATCCATACCTGCAGTTCTTATTCCATGGAGTATTTCTGAACCTTTAGAAGTTTGTGTAAATCGAAGAAAGAGAGATTCCTGCATTGTAGATTTAAAAGTAACGGCACTTCTTCCTACTTCCATTACTCTTTCATGGTCTAATAATGTTCATATGGAATTTAATGAAGATCATCACAATTCTGGTATGTTTGTGCAGATTCAATCAGCAGCAAAGGAATTGAGTGTGGGTACATTTAAAGACTGTGTGATGTGCCCTACTCCTTCTATTACGATTGATGGTCTCTTACCAGCAACACCGTATATTATCACAATAAGTGAAAGTGTGGAAGTGCAGGGGAAACGTATTTATGTTGTCACTCCATATGATATTAGTGATGAGATGCTTATAGAGATGATTGCCTCCATGAACATTAGTTGTGATCTTGAGAAGGATGTTTATATTAATAATAATAATAATAATAATAATAATAATAATAATAACAGTATAAGAAAATACAGGAGTGAAGGGGAGAAGGGTTTGCTCTTTATAGAGCCTAAAGTTCCCCATTTATCCACTCAATCTAATGTATCTTTACAATTTTCTCTTCCCGCTGAGAAAAACACTCTCTGGACGTTATCTTCACATCATACCTGGTTTGCAGGAGATGCATCTCATTCACATTTTCCATGTTTGTGTGTTTGTGGATCTCTGCGTGTTGGACTGGTGGCCTGGTCAGATGCGTTATTGTGTTTGTGGAGTAATGCGGGAATAACGGAGAAGAGTACGGCGGTGTGTACATTCCCGTTGGAATCAGAGAAGATGGGAACACTTTGGCCGCATCTCCTTCTCAGAATTACATCTAATGTACAGCATAAACAAGATCAAAGACTATCACTAACATCCTCCTTATCCTCAATCCCCAATCAACAACAACAACAAGAAGAAGAAGAAGTGAATACACCTAAAGAAGAAGAAAATAATAATAATAATAATAATAATAATAATAATAATAATAATAATAATAATAATCTTTATAGAGGGTTGCGAATGTCTATTAATATTCCACAGAATCGTGATATTATTGTGGATCTTATTGGATGTCCACGTCTTGTATATATGGATGAGACCCGTTGTGTACTGCAGTGGAATGGATCTTGTGTATATTATCATCTTCGCTGGCGTATTGGGGTAACAGGTGTTATTCACACAACTACAATTACACAGAAACCACATCAACATCCAAATATATCTCTTGATATTTCTACATTAGCAAATACGGTGATATTCTTCTCTGTATATAGTGCACGAGGTTTCTCTAATGGTCTCTGCTTTGCTGTACTTATCCCACCAAAGATTAATCAAATCCCTTCACACATTCTTAACAGAGAAGATGAGATATATATAGAAAAATATACCTTATCTCTCTCTGAAGAGAATGAAGTACCATCGCCGTTGTTAGAATTGGAATGGCATATACCAACACAGAAATCAATATCAGCCATCGCAACAACAAGAAGAACAACAAACAAAGAAGAAGAGGAAGAAGAAGATAAGAAAGAGATTATGTGTATAGCTAGAGTCTGTGATCTATCCAGTGTTGTTTGGCTACAGACATTTACAGATATATTAGATGGTGTTGTAAACCACAAATTGCCACTTCCTACTACTATGACGTGGCTTAACCCTGTTGTGAATGTTACATTTTCTATTTTCTCTTCCATGTAATGAACATCAGGGGATTCTGGAAATATGTACATACTTTACCATAAATATATATATATATATATATATAATATGTGATTTTTTAGTTTTATTGTATTTTAATATTTTAATACATGTGTTTATATTATTCACTGTTATATTGTTATGGCTTTCTTTCTTAATCTCACTATTCTCTAATAATAATAATAAAAGAGAGAAAGAGAGATCCTGTGGAATATGTTTAGTTATCTTGTTTTTTTTTTTATTTTTCACTCTCATCATCATCATCTTTTTTTTTCTTCTTCTCTCTTTTTTCTCTTCTCTTGAAATAATAATAATAATAACAAAATATTAAAGAAATATTTTTATTATTTTCTTTTTTTTTCTTCTGTTTTTTTTTTTTAATGCGGCGTCTCTCATGGAGAACGCTGAGTCTTCACAGTAATGTTGCTCAGCGTTGGGCACGCCGCGGCGCAGATGCACTTAAAGGCACAGCAGCAGCAGCAGCAGCAGCAACAACAACAGAGAAATCAACGCGAAGGTCTGGGAAAATAACTTCTTCACACAAAGAGAATAAAAAACCAGATGTTTATGAGGAAGAAGAAGAAGAAATAAAAGAATCGGGATCTTTTCTCAATATGGATGATATCCATCATAGCAGCCAAGTTCACAATAATAACAACAACAATATGATCCATAACCATAATGATAATCATAACAACAACAACAACACTCATGATAGTGAAAAGAGCAGTATAAAGAATGGTGTGAATAGTGTATATAGTGCTGGAGGAGATATTGATATAGGGAATGATATGTTCACACCCACTGTTGATATGGAAGAGGAATATAGTACTCCCGATATGTCTTCTTCAAGTAGTTCCTCTAATGAGAGTGTACTCTACGCTATTGATGTTCTCTGTGATGATCTCTTCTCATGTAAGACGGATGTGTTAAAATCATTTGCACGAACTCGTTCAGTGAGTGGGGCAAGTAAGTCTGAACTCGTGATGAATCTTATTGATCTTGCCAATCGTGAGGCTCATGGGGAAAATCAAGATCTTAGTATTACGAAACGAGTTCTTGGTGATGTCTTTAATGAAGATGTTCGTGTAAGTGGAGTACGATCTCAATGGACGAATAAATCTCTTGAGGCTTCACATGTGGAAATGGCATGTGATGGACATCTTAAATTTGAGGTAATGAGTTATACACAAAAAACACTTATGGTTCGTAGAAATGCGTCAGAATCCGCACGTGTTTTACGTAAACTTATACGTTCATTTCAACAAGATTATCAACGAACATCAGAGGCGGCAGTGGGTGGAGTATTTCGAAACTTTAAGGCAGAAGCGGATCAATTAGTAGAAGAGATGTCATCTGTAGAAGTTGTAGCCCCATTTGCATCTTTTCTTGTTTCTTATGTGCGTTATGCTACTTCTGCAAATCTTCTCACACGTACAAATGTGATTGAACGTTTAGAACAATTGGGATTAGTTCAAATGTCTGTAGAGGAAAGTAATGAGACCACTCTTCAGCGATTAATGGCATTATTAGATGATGTAGTGGCAGAAGTTGAACGTCGGGCGGTTTGTTTTGGCGATAAACGAACATCGTGGGGAACAGAAACACCGGAAGTACTGCGAAGTTCCATTCAAGCCTTTGGAGATTATAATGCCCAACAACATCAACAATCTCAACATGGTGAAGTGTTTGAACGGGCACCAGAATGGGTACATGATTTAGTGCGAATGTTTAATAATTGGGAGGCAATTGTTCGTACAGATATTCCAGTATTGGAGGATGTGCCAAAGTATATATTTGATTGTATTTTAAGTGGTGTGGTGTGTTTAAATCTATTACAAAATATATATGGTGATATCATTACACCTACAGATGTTCCTCTCTCTGTTCGCGGGGCTGTGAAAAGGGCAATGGAGGCTCATTTTAAAAATGAAGAAAAGGCTGCACATGCATTAGCGAAACTCTTTGCATATGTACAAGCCCCAGGAGACTCTGGAACTGTGCGGGCGGAATTCTTCGCGGCGGTCTTATCACAAATGCAAGGTGCCTTTCACGATACTGAACAGAATATTTTACACAATGCACGAGTGGCATTAGTATTACGAGAAGTGTGTGCAACCGCCTCACGGTGTACACGGACATGCGGTTTATTTCACATGCTTGTAAAGATTACAGAAGATTTAAGGTTTCAATTCCGTTTTAATACTATTTTTAAAAAATTAAGTGGAAGAGATCGTACAACGATTCGTACAAAATACAGTATTAATATGGTGAAAACATTAGAATACTTTGAACAGGAATATGGAGTCACTCCAACCTCTACGAAAGCGGTAGGATTTCTTGTTATTCAACTCTTACATTTCTCTATGCGTGGAACTGGTGGTAATACCAGTAATACTAGTGGGAATAATAATAATAATAATAATAATAGTAATAGTAATATTAGTGGTGGTGGTGGTGGTGGACGTCCTCTTCTTGAACGTTTTGTAAGTGTTACTGGTAAAGAAGAGTTTTCTATTGTTTGTATGTCTGAAGTGGAGGCTACACAGATTCGTGATTTACGCGTTGCATTTCCTCCACAACTTTCATACAATTCATGGTTACATCAATCCGATACAAAGGAAAAGTCTGTTTATAATGTACTTCCCTCTGTTGCGGTGAAGGGATCTACAAATCAAGCTATGATTATTTCTCAAGCTCCAATGATGAAAGCATTAGATGCTATTTCTCGTGTACCTTGGCGTATTAGTAAATATATGTTACATGTACAAGAGGCTATTGTACGTGAAGGTTATGGATTTGGTAAAATTCGACCTGGTTTTTATCCATTACATTACTGCGCAAAGAGTCGCGGTGAAATTACATATGATAATAATAATAATGATAATAATAATAGTAATAATAATAATGGTTATGGTGGAGATTATGATAATGATGATGATAGTGGATGTGATGTGTATAATTTACAACAACGTCGTGAGTATGATACACAACAAGATGAAGATTGGAAGAGTTTATCAGAACTTCGTAGTAATCGTATTCATTACTTACAAGCTCTTCGTCAAGCCCGTTCACTTGTACAGTTTTCACATATTTATTTTCCTAATAGTATGGATTTCCGTGGTCGTATGTATCCACTTCCAGGTAGATTAAATCATACCGGTTCCGATCCTTTTCGTGCCTTATTAGAATATGCAGAACCTAAACCTCTTGGAACGATTGGATTATATTGGCTTAAAGTTCATTTAGCTAATAAAATGGGAATGAGTAAACTTTCCTTTGATGAACGTGTACATTATGTAAATGAACACATTGAAGATGTTGTACGAAGTGCGGAATCCCCTCTCTCTGGTGATAAATGGTGGCAAGAGGCTGCAGAACCCATGCAGTGTCTAATGGCGTGTAAAGAGTTAGCGGATGCCCTTAAATGTTCACAAGGTGCTGAAAATTTTCTCTCACGTCTTCCCGTTGCCGTGGATGGAAGTTATAATGGTTTACAACATTATTCCGCAATTGGTCGAGATGCCTTCGGGGCTCAATTAGTAAATCTTGTACCAAGTGAAAGACCCGCAGATGCATATACAGGAATATTAAAAGAAATGATGCGATCTATTACCGCAGATGCAGAGAGAGATCACCCGGTGGCTCAACGTTGTTTAGGAACTGGTAAAGGACAAGACTGCAATCATGTTAAGCGAAAAACCATTAAACGACCCATTATGACTCAAGTGTATGGAGTAACAGGATATGGAATGTCTGAACAGATATTAGATGAATTGGTTAAACAAAATAAAAATCATGGATTATGGACATCTACAGATATGCGAGAGATGGCGGATTATTTACGAGAAAAAGTATTAGAATCACTTGGAGTGACATTTCGAGAAACTCAAAACTGTAGACGTTGGATTACAGATGTAACGAATATGATTTGGGAAGCCCAACCAGCGGAGTTGCGAACAGCTCTCTGCTGGACTACACCACTTGGTTTAGTGGTTCGACAACCGTATAAAGTAAAGAAGGAAATTATGTTATTTACGGCTCATGGATGTACACGTATTCCCGGTGATGTATTTGCGGCGGCAAGTCGTAAACAATTAACAGCGATTGCCCCTAATTTAATTCACTCTTTAGATGCCACTCATCTTGCCATGACGGCTATTGAAATGCAAAATCTTGGACTTTCCATGATGGCTGTACATGATAGTTACTGGACCTATGCATGTGATTTACCGGTATTAAGTAAAGTCCTTCGACAACAGTTTGTTACGCTTTATAGTAAATATGATCCCTTGTGGGAATTAAAGGAACAGTGGGAGGAGGCGTACTTTATGGATCTCCGCCGGCACGGTTTATTACTGCCAGACCCACCACAGCGGGGAGATCTCGATCTCAGTGTGGTATTGGACTCTCCATACTTCTTCTCATAAATTGTGTGTGTGAATAAATAAATAAATAAATAAATAATGAGGAGGAAAAGGAACAATATACAGACCGGTAATAAAAGAGAAAAGACATTTTATTTATTTATTTATTTATTATTATTATTATTATTATTATTATTATTATTTGTTATTATTATTGTTTTTCCGTTTTTTTCTTTTCTTTTGTTATTGTATTCCTCTTGAGAGATATAGAAGAAGGGATATATGGAAGAAATGAAAATGGGAGTGTGAGAGAGAAATATATATATATATATATATATATAAGGATTGGAAGAAAAATTAGAACTAATAGACAATAACGCAGAAATGTGCAGATTGGCACATCACATATCATTACATATCATTATAGCCACATTATTAAAACACTTATCCACATACATTTACAAAAATTTTATTTGTTTATATATTTGTATGAGGTGTACGCTTTTTTTTTCTTTCTTTTATCTTCACATTACAATCTTTGTACCTTTTTTTTTCTTTTTCTTTTTTTTTTTACTCTTTGTTTTCATTCTTCATTCTTCTGCGTGCATATTTGTGATTGCAGTTAATATTCCACGTTATTATCTTTTTTGTGTGTCTGTTTTTGTTCCTTTCCCATTCCCGTTTGTATTCTCTCCCTTTTTTTTCTTTGATTTTCCATCGTACCTTAACGTATATATATATATATATATATATATATATATATATATATATATATATATATATATATATATATATACATATATAGATAGATAGATAGCGTCTACACGAGTATATTTACACAAGGCACAAGTTATTGTGTAATCATTCATGAATGAAACAGCAGTAAAATCTTCCACTACTCCTACTACCACTAATACTACTACTACTACTAATAATAATAATAATAACAACAGTAATAGTGATAATAATACCACTACAAGTACTATTACGATTGCTTCTATTAAAAATGAATTAGATGCTGCCGTAAAGACATTTGAGCAACACATACGCCGGGCAGTAGTGAAAGTAGACAAATACCTGCGAAAAGGTGCCCCCGCCGACACCACAAGTGTAGAGACTAAATTAGAAGATTTCAAACAAAGTGTGGTTCTCTTTAATTCCGGGTGTAAATCTATTCTTCTGGTGGCTAAACAAACTATACAGAAACTTGATCAATGTGGATCCAACCCCAATGCAGATAATAATACCGTACTGCAATTACAAAAAGATCAACAAGAGTTACAGCAATTAAAAGAAGAATTACAACAAATACAAGAAGAAAGACAATTACAAAAAGAAAAACAAGAAATGGCAGAGGCGTTAGCAGCGAAAAGTAATGCCTTATTAGAAGAAACAGAGGCGTTAGTGACTGAAAAAGAAAATAAGATGATGGAGCTGCAGAAACATGTGGAGGAACTTCAACAGACATTAGAAACTGTGAAGAAGGAACATGAACAACAGCAGCGGGAGACTATAGCCGAGTTAAAAGAAAAGAAAGAGGCATGGGCACAATTAAATATCGAAAAAGAAAGTCATCAAGAAGAATTAGATACAGCTCAAACACAAATACAATATCTGGAAGAACGTCTCTCCACATTAGAAAAGAGTCGTACTCGGGAATTCGCCCTTCTTGAGCGAATGTCAAGAGATCATGAGAGAGATATTACGGTTTGGCAGAGTAAGTGTACACAGGCACTGCAGGAATTAGAGCGAGTACAGGCAGAAAAGAAAGAAATGATTAGTCGTTTTGTGGATGAGAATCTCCGTGCACAAGTACAGGATCTACAGAGAGAAT